TCCTTCACAGTATGGTGACTTGATTCGTAAGAACAGGAATTCACCACAAACTGAGGAAAGGAAATAAAATGACGTATGCAAAACAGGATAAATTGTTAATGACCTACCCAGAGGAAACCCGAATTTATTCATAGAGTAAAAAATTAAGTGCGTCATGCAAATTATAACGGATGCTTTCGGTGATCTAACACCTAGAGCATAAAAATGGATTTATTCAGAAAAAAGTAAAGCACATTGACGTCACGCGGGAATCTGTGATTTAACACTTGTGTGGCTAAACGGAAACATAGCATTACCGTGCAGTTTACATCCAGGGTTGGTAGAAAGTTGCTTTAAGAACTTCACTAAAAAATTTGCCCCTTTTTGCACGCAGCTGATTTCGTGCGAGTTTTTTTCCTTATCCGCTGAACAAACTTGTCGTCTCTCAGTCCGGGAGACCGGGGACCTACAGCTACCCCGCAGTCCGGCGGCCCGCGCCAGGCCGGGACCCAGCGTGGGACAGGGCACACTCGTGTTTCGGGGCGCCAAAGGAGTGGTTCATGTCCAGCATGTCAACCGCCAGTCATGCAAACCGGACTTTTATCCGTCCACTGGCCGCGAGCGAGCGGAAATGATGGCTATCTTGACCTTATCCTTGACTTTGAGCATTTTCTCAGACAGTGGTCGGCTAATATCAGCAGCATGACGTACCAAGTGCGTGCAACAACCGGTTAACTAATTAGCCGATTTAATTGGAGATTTGCGTTGAGTTTTTGATAACACTCTTAGGTTTCCACAATATACAGGAAGATTGTATAGTGCAGTTATTATACGCGGAAGAATTGGCGGGGAAAACCGAAAACGAAATAAGATTGATGGTAAGGAGGGTGACAACAATAGACCTTATTTATAACATGTTTCTTTTCGCTGAGTATATGCTTGTGAGTTGTGTGGACGCTATCAACAAAGAAACAGCCTCAACAAAGCCTGGACATGTCGGAAACCGTGTGATAGGGAACAATTTTATAGACTACCTTGTTCAATATTCATATTTTGTCTGCGAAAACACTTGCTACGTCAAGAGGAAGGAGACAAGTACCTAAAGGCAACATTCAACATTCAGCCAAATTCAGCCAAAACATTCAGCCCTTGAGAACAGACGAGCGAGCTGGGCACGCTAATTCTCGAGGCGGCGACCTTCGGCATAAACACGCTGGACTTTGGAGCGATCCCTAGACGTTTAAAGTTCCTCGTCGCCCATTGCCTGTATTATTACGTGCTTGTAGGAGCTTCCAGTCTGGACTATTTGAAAATTACCAAATAGTCCAGAAACAGTCCAGTAAAATGTCCGAAATTGATATGTCATTTACGAAATCCAGGCGATCAGAACAACAATAATTATTTAAAGAATGCAAGCATTAAAAGCAAACGAGACAATCCATAGGCCAGTAGCTCAGCCTATTTACTGATACCCCTTCCCCCCCCCTAAAAAAAAACGTTTGCAGTTCTGTTGGCGTTTTTTGATACAAAAATTACGGCAGTCTACAGTGAAAGTGCGAGGAGTCGGTATGCGGTCTGCGCCTGGCTCGATGGCTGCCGGTGATTCGGATTGACCAGCTATGGGTCGGGCGGAACGGTCAGAAGGCACCGCCCCAGAGCGACGGCCACTTCAGTTCACGGCCACCGGCGCAGAGGAACCGGCCGACATCGGTCCACCGCCGGATGCAACGCCGGCTGTGATTGGTTCGTTCTCTGAGACGACGCCGGCGATTGGTGGTGACGGTAGAGGAAGTGTCTAGGTTGGCCCGCCGGAGCCGGCGCGGCCGGTCACTGAAGTTGGACCGAAGACGTCGAGGTTCGGTCGCTGACCGCATGGCGGCGCCACCATACAGCCCACCAGCCCTTACCGAGTGGCCCACAGCCCCACTGCTCGGCCATCGGCCCTAACTTGGGAACGACGCTGACCAGCCACGATCAACATGCTGCCGGTGCAGGACGAGCGAGTAGCGACTGCTGCACCCAAGCGCCACCTGGCGGCGTGGGTCCGCATGCATGGGTCCACACTGCACGGCTCCGGACTTAGTGGATTCAACAGCACCGTGTGGCTCACCTCAAAGCGAAGGTGTAATGTAACCTTTCTAAGAAATGCATCTTCAAGCAATGCGTGATCAGATCCACGTAAACGAAGGACGACTTCTGAAAAACTAATACCTACTTAGGACAATGCCCCTTATACAAAGAAAAGTGAAATCATGTTGGCACGCTAAGGTATTAGCTAGATTTATGCATCAAAAGATGCCGCCCATTCACAGAATGAAAGCGTATGAACATTTTCTGAAAACACAAAAGATAACAAAGTTCATAGCCTCACAATTTCTAGAACTTGAGCAAATATGAAATACCTACCTACATAATTTCGCATAACGCATTGAGGAGTAAACACGGAAATTGCCAAAAACGCGGAAATTGCGCCATATCGGCATCCTAAGCAGGCTCCAGAGCGTTTAAGATGTCATCACACCTGTCAGCCATCTTGTTCCGTCATCTCCAGCGCGCATAACTAACACCAGTCGGCACAAGCGGCGGGCCCGCCGAGCCGTGCTCGATGGTTCCGTGAAGGGCGGCCCGTGACGAGGGCACCCTGGGCTCGTCACAGGTGGCGCGTCGCCGACCGGCGGCACTTCCTGACTGCCGGTGCCGTTAGGCGCTCTTCCGACGCGCCAGATGCCGCCGACGCGCCGCGTTCGTCGTGCGTGAGTGCGCCGCTCGCCGCAGCGTCGCGCCGAGTGTGCACTGTGCAGTGTGCACAGCCACTGCACGGTGCGCTGAGAGCATGCCGACACGGCGCACCGCCAATGGGCGCGGGGTCACCCGGCGAGCACCGCGGGCGCCGCAGCGGTCCCGAGCGTGCACCGCAGTCGCACTTCCTCTGAGACCGCCGCCGGGGGTTACCAGAGGTCACCAGGGGTCACACGAGGTCGCCGCAGGGCGAGGGGTTAACAGCCGCGCCACCAACGGCGGCGGTCGAAAGGTTGGGATGGGACTGACGTGTCGGGACCGGGCAGCCCGGGCGGCAGGTTGAGGAAGACAAATTGTCCACCGGTCAGGCTGCCATAAATACCTACTCCAGCCGGGGATCCTGCCCCTGACCCTTGGTGCCCGTCTAGTGACCAGTCACTCCGCCCTCTATCGACCCTCCTTCGGGAAAGTCAGCCGATCCTCCGCCCCTGCCAATAACAGAAATGGAGACAAACCGAGAGTGGATAGTTGGCTGTAAAACCGCCCTGTTTATACAGGTCCAATAAATCGACCACTGACGGCTAAGCAGTGCACAACGGCCTGCTGGAAAAGATAAGGTAGATATTTCATTTTCGAAGCCACTTGCCAGGGCAGGAACATGTCTTTTCGAAAAATATCACGACGTGTAACGTACAAATTCCTTTTTGATTATACTTCTTTTAATAACAGAAATTAAACAGCCCCAGAAACATGACTTCGTAATGAAGCAAGGAAATAGTGGAATAGTCCAGGACAACAAACTGCTTTCGAACGTAACTCTCCGTAGATAAATCGAAAGTTTTTGCACCTTTAACTAAGACGGACTTTTAAACATTTATCCAAGTTGCCTGATGCCATTCTAATAAAAAACACCGCTGATCAAGATAAACAAATTATGGCGCAGTTTTTGGTAAACAAACTATGACGCAAACTATAAACAAACTATGGGGCAGTTTTTGTTGATAGGGACGGCAGCGCCCGGCCCCTATAATTCCTCCTCAAGCCACGGATCATATTCCGGGGACCGTCTCTCTCGGCCCCCGTCCCACCATAACCCGCTTCCCTCACTGGTTTTTGTTACCGGCAGGGTCAATGTTAAGGACAAATTATATTGCCCCACGGCCATAAACCAGCGCCAGCACCCCAGCTGTCGCCGACCGGCCCCGGTGTCCTCCGGGAGGGTGCTCGCCTTGATCTTGAACCGTCCGAGGGTCGCGCTGCGTCACTTTCGGCACCCTCCCCTCCCCTCCCCTCCCCTCCAGCTGGGTCCCGGACCGCTCAGAAGAGGCAATCAAAGGCTCCTGTCCGCGGAATTTCGTCAGCTGGGCAGCGGTGGCCGTGAAGCACCGCAGGGGCACACTGAACAGACCACATTTCCCCTCCTTTCGCCACTTCCTGCCGACACAGGAGAGCTCCTTTCATTGCTCTTCAAAGAGCAAAGGCATTCAGGACGAGCGAAAGAAAGGACTTCGGAATTCGGATGTTCGCCACGCTGAAATTTCTGTCAGGCAAAAAGTATGACAAACAATCGAAGGACATAAATCGAGACAGGAAGCGTTTTTAGAAAGCGCACACAGTAAGCCAGGAAACCGATGGGAAATATGTATCACTGAAAAAAACAACACAACCATCGAAAAGAAGCAACAAAAAAGGTAGGCAATAATGATATGCTAAACAGAAAACTATATTTCTTAAAAATTGAAAGTTTGTAGAAACTTCTAGGAAATTCAAAAGCTAGGTCAACAGGTTCATTGCATCGATTTCTATCGGCTGGGCTTAGTGGTAAATTGGATTATGTACTGCATAGGATTCCCCGAATTCTCAAACCCCGGCCGGAAACGCGTAAGCATGGTCAGAGACTCACGTTGTGCTCAGTCATCAATTACTATTATTATTTTATTATTATTATTTCAGTATACCCGACAACCACAAAGTAGTGGGCATTACGTTGGGTAGTGGTGCAATCTTCATACATACCTACACATTACAAAATACACAATAGGTACACATACAACACACATGTATGCAATGTTCATACATCGAATTGTTACACACTCAATTAGCAATAAGTCGAAAGAATTTGAGCAAAAAAAAAATACGACATAATTAACCCAAGAAGAATTACCATAGCCTAGGTCATTTCAACTTAGTGCAAGACCTGGCACACAAATATTTCTTTTCGAAGGCTACCGTAATTTATATGTTCATCCACAAACGAAATAAGCTGCATATGATTCACGTGCTGGGCACGTGATATTAACTTTTCCACTAAACAGGTTGCTCAAAATCAGTTCCTTTGTTACCTAACTTGGTTTGTTTTTTATTGAGCCTGAGTTTTTGTTTTTCATTTAAATTCAGCCTAAATTCTAAGTAACAATTGAAATCATGAGGATTTTCAGCATTACCCTACTGTGCCTTGCCATCTTTGTGATTGCTACAGGTAAGAAAAGCTCACGGGATGACTTAATAAAGCTTTCCTTCGCAAGTCCATTCTCAATAACATAACAGAAAATGCATTTTCATTGCAGAAGTCTGCAAACGTAACGACATGGCATTGCTCATGTCAGATACATGTTTTCCATTTAAGCAAAAATAGGAATCGTGATTGTTTAAGCAACTGCGCTGAGTACTTATCTCAAACACTTCGTGACATTTCCGTTTCACTTTGCAGAGGCGCGTAGTGCACATCGTCGGCGTCCTTACGAATATGATGAACGCGACGACGACGGAAAGAGGCCTTTGGACGAAAAGTCTGGACACGTCGTCAAGAAAATAGGCCAGCTTCTCAACAAACAAATTCAGGAAGAAATGCGGGAACAAATCTACGACAAAGTTCATGAAAATATCATTGAGCCTGTCGGAGAAATCTTGGAAAAATAACTCAAACAGCGTCCTTACAAGTTTAATGCCACATTTGTGGTATCGCCTTCCTCCCCTACATTCTGTCACCGGTGTGGCTATATTAAGTACCTTGTCAATCTGTCAGCAAATATAAACTTTCAGCAAATAAAAAGGGCGTTTCTCTTCAACTGACAACTAAAGCGCTTATGTGAATACCGGGCGTGGGGGCAGAAAACGCAAAAGGCACGTACTTCCAGGAGCCGGCGCTATAAAAATGGGGCGGCTCCAGCCACAATGAGATCAACGAATAACTTATACTATAAACGCGTTGTAATTAAAACTTAGTTTGTTTGAAACTGAGTGGCATTGCCTTACCAGTCTTAATTCACAAAGCAAGACTGTTCTGTTGTTTCCCTTTCATATTGCCTTCAATAAATAGATCCTAGAACTGAGAACAACAGAATCAATATGTAGAGCCCCAAAACAACAGAACAAATATCGCAGAGCAATTTCTTGAACAGATCATAAGGTGTCGCTTGCTTGTCTTCTTTTTTTCAATTCCTTCCTTTTATTTCCCCAATTCCTACGCCACAAGAATAGAGTCAGTTTGTCGGTGTCCACAAGAATCGGTTTCAACTTCTCGATAACCGCATTGTTCAACTGCGCGGTCGTCCTCTCAGTACCTGTCACCCGTAGTACAGAACAGAAATTACGGAATCAGTCTGGAATATTCACACTTTGCATATCAAACAACTTGGAATACATCTTTTTCGCATACGGTGTTAAAATGTCAGGTCTAGCTGGGCCACTTACAGACAGGTCACGTCACATTGACCCGCAACGTGCTGGTGGTCTTGAGATTTCCGTGTCCTGCTAAGCAAGATTACTTTACTACTCTGCTAAGGGGGGGGGGGCATTTTCACACCTGTCTAACTCGGCTCCTGGGACACGTAGCGACACGCAGTAAGCAGCATTCGAAAGAGCATCACAAATAATGAAGGAAATATTCCAATCAATTTTTACGTCAAGTCAGAGGTCAGGTCAGCAGAGGTCATCAAATGTCAAATTTTGTCTGTTTCAACAAATTTCGAAACACCCGACGCAGATCTCCGGAACCAATAGAGTTACAGTGCCGCGGAAAAGCTCTTTTGATAGCTTTTTCACAGGCCTTCCGACTGTTGTTCTCAGATTTGGCCTCAGGTCAACGATTTAGCCTCTATAGGGCAAAACTAAAAAATTGCCGTTTTTACGAGAAAGAAATGTTTTTCGGCAATAACTATTGACTCAAAAAGTCACGACATTACTTTTGCCAGCATCGTGTTCCTCTGGGCGAGAAGCGTGGAATGAACTATAAGTTAACCTTCAAAGGTCATTTTGAAAATTTGACCTCAGGTCAAGGTCATGACCTGACCGGAAAAGGGCATGTTGCATATCAGTCGATCTGTATCGTCAAGCTGAACGCAACTGGCGTGTTTTCACCGCTCTTGCATGTCTCTATCAGAAGTTATTGTAAAAAAAAACTGTTGGCAACCTTTTATGACTTCAAATGACCTCAGGGGCACACAGAGGGGTCACGGGCGCAATTTTCCGATTCATCGTGTCATGTTTGTCTAAAAACCGATGCTTGAGACTATTTAGAACGACATTCGACCAAAGGAAGCGCATTTCAAGTTTCTCCCATTCAATTTTCTCACGTTAATCCCCGTTATAACTGGTTTGACATTTAAGTGCCGCAGAATAGTAATAACCTAGACTGGGGTTCATTAACTCATCTGAATGAATGAATGATTTAAAAAAGGAGATAGCTGTCTGTGTGCCGCTTAATTTTAATTCCTTCTTAACCCGCGCCCGTAGGGGGGATCCGAAACGCCCCCCCCCCCCTCCTGTCCTTTTCCGTCGATATCTCCTAAACGGCTGGAGATATCGCCACCAAACTTTCAGGACCCCTCCGGGCATCAATTTTACACATTGCGACCAAATTTTTTTTCCAGAGGCTATGATAGGTTGGCCACAAATGACGTCAGAATGACGTCATGTTCTGCCATTTTCGACCGAAAAAAGACCTTCGCGAGAAGAGCTGTCAGACCTACAGCTTTGAAGATACAGAAAAATGATCAAGACATAAAAGGTGTAGAATTGACAGGGCTACAAAACTGCTATCTCGGATTTTTGAAATTTTTTAGTTTTGACCCCCAAAAATCAAAAATGCAATTTTTGGATATATTAGCCAAAAAATCCAAAAAATTGAGTTTCGAAAAAATCGGAATATATGTGATAGTACCTACCGTCTTCTATCTACATACCAAGTTTCAGATCGATATCTCTTTTTTGGCCAAGTTATAGCGAAAAAAAAACTTTAAAAATGATAACGTCAAATTTTCAAACTCAATTTTTGGCAATTATAGACCACGTAGGGCAAAACAGAGACCACCATTGGACTCCGCGTGACGAGCTGCATCGAATGGATACCCATTTTATGCAAACATATCAACTTTGAAATTTGACCTAATTTGACCTGACCTTGACCTGACCTTCACCGGAACATAATCTTAACTGACCTCAAACGCTGCCTGACCCACATAATCGCATTTGTCATGTAAAATGGACCATAAAACATGTATCACACGACACTTTCATATTGTGACCCCCAGTGACCTGACCTGGTATCAGTGACCTCAGATAGCGAAGTATGTGTTTGACGAACAATGTACTATCGATGGTTTTCAAACCCTTACCAATTTACTCGATTTCACAACACATTTCTTGAAATGCCTGTGAACGGTGAAAATCTGACCTTTGACCTGACCTGTGACGTCATCGGTTTGACCTAGGTCAATGAAATTTGGTCACAAGGTAGTTCCCCGGTGGGGCTATCGAACGCCGTTTGAATTTTGAAAATCGGCCGGTAAATTTCCGAGATCTTAGGGGGGCCGAAACGCCCCCCCCCCCCCCCCACGTGCGGTAGGGTCCGCCGGTAGCTCTACGGGGCGCGGGTTAATAACCCTGCGCCCAAATTGATGACACACTTATCGATAGTATCATGCACTGTGGCATTATGCAACAATGTAATAAAACTTCTTGCTTATTAGCAAGGAAGCACAATAAAATCACAGCAAACTTCACTACATCCTATGGGGTCACATACACACAGAGGGGTCACGGGTGTAAATTTCCCATTCAGTGTCCTGTTTACCTAAAAACCGACACTTGAGAGTGTTTAGAACGACATTCGACCATAAGAGCCACAGGCGCATTTCAATTTTCTCCCATGGAATGTAATGGGATATCCCTAATAAAGAGGTCCCAAATTGACCCGACCTTAGGTCACAGATGTCTAAATTCCGAGATATACATTTTATACACACTGTTAGGCTTTCATCAATCTCTGAAAGTGTCAAAGCGATCGTTCAGTCGGTACAGCTACAGCAAGCCCTTAAACTTTTCTTATGCAAGGTCACTTGACGTGACCTAGTGACCTGACCTTGAACGGCCGGTGTCTGAAATTTTCACAACATGTGCGGAAAAGATTATGAACAGCGCCATCTTTTAGACATTCGCGAAAAAAAAAACCTTAGAGGGGCGTGAAAACGCCCTCCCCCCCCCCCCCCCTCCAGCATGACGCGGGTTATGTGAACAAATTCCAAGAATAAAAACTTAGATGCTCAGTGTTCGCTCTTAGCCACATCGAATGAAAAACTGCTTCGAAATTGTCCTTGGTATATGAGAATGACAGGGTTCATGGAGCGCTTATCTCGGAATCTCTGCCACTGATTCTGAACTCCATAATTTTGCGACCTCCCCATTTTCATTCAACGGAAGCAACGGAAGCTTAACATCAACTCATGACTCTCACCGATGCCAATATCTTTAGTCGACTAAGGTCAAATTACATGATATCCGACGCATTTCGACGAGAGAATCACGATGCTGGTAAAATTGATGTTATACAAGCAGCATGTCAACAGAAAAAGCATATGTGCTGAGAAAGTATCAATGCAAAATAATGATGAATATGAGACTTTAACTGCGATGCGATGGTCTGTAACTTCTGATATGAAACAGGCCAGGGTACGTCGGACATCCGGAGGCTGACGGGTGACCAGCGTCTTGGCTCCAAGATAAATTCAAATTAGACGCATTAGGTCTTGAAAGACTAGAAAAAATCACATTTAGGAACAAAGAACATGACTTATTATATTCTACATATAACCCGACAATCCATGACAAATATCCCAAAACCACAGGAAATGTAATAAGCAGCCGCGTTAAGATTGCGAGTGCCGACTGCCGAGTGTTTAAAAGGCTCATCAGAAAAGGTATACCTATATGGTGATTGATCTGAAAGTGAAGTAGACACTCGACAGGCTTCATAAACAGACCCCATCCTTTTTCAGAGATTAAAGAGCCGTCAAGTAACTTATCAGTTTTGTATCTCATACATTTTATGACTATGCGTAGAAGTTGAGCTTGTAAGTTTCGCCACGTTCTGATGCACAGCAAGGAAGTAAAACTTCTTGCATCGGCAACTAATCAGTTAGGCATTGCAAATGTCAGAAACTCAATATGCATGTAGCAATTAAGTCACAAATTTGACTGTATTACACGAAAGACTTAGACACACTCCACTGACTTGCTGCGTGTCGCTCTCGAGCTCACGGATCGGACAAAGCGTCGTAACAATGAGCTGGATTCGCTCGTAGTTGGTGCAAGACATTGGCTGGACGAAGGACGCTCTTTCACAATGTCCCTGGAGCCTTCACCCACATTTACAACTGTTGCAGTATCCAGGGTAGGCGATTGGGTGAGTTCCGAAGGGGCGATGCCATTTACTTGCCACTGGTGCCACTTTCCACTATACTGATTGCATATGAAGTCGTAGGTGAATGTAGGCTCGATGCGAAGTTGTACGGGGGCCCGATCACTTCGCTCTCCTCTAGAAACTATACTTGTTGGCTTGTCACAATATATCGGTAGATTATGTCGTGCTGGTGAGCGGTGACAGATGTAGTTTTGCATCTTTTTAAGAATGATTTCACCCACTGAACAGGTCGATAGGTGAAAAATTATGTCTCAAAACAAAAGTAATTTTGCCATTGCGAGGGCAAACAAAACAAATTTGCCAAAGGCTTATTCTAATTGTGACGGCAACGTTAAAGAAATCAATCAAAAAGAAACATTCGGAAACTAAACCCAGTCACAAGTAAATACGGTTGTCATAACAAAACAGACGGGTCATCAAAGTACTCGACTTGAAACTGATGCCAGGATGCCAGGCACTTGGCGAGACTGGGCGAGACGCCAGACGCGCCAGAGATGAGCGAATGGAATGTATTCGGGCCTTGAGCGAATGTAAAAATTAGAAATCGGGAAGAAAAGATCGCAATGTTGCACGTGAACATACTTGACTAGGTCAGCTAATTTTAAGCGCAACAAACCCAAAAACCAGCCATCATGATTAGGTTTGGCTCAGACAGGGTTTAGAAAATAAAGTACCTTTTATGTGTCCTTTAGAAAAATTGTTCAACAGTGAATGATGAAATTTCAGTTGAATAAGTCGACTCAAGTTCAAACTACGCAACTTGAAATACTTCGCCTTTTACCGTAAACAGGTATCAATCATCCCAAAGGCAAGATATACTGACTGTCATGTTACTGGGCTTATTTTTCTACAGACGGGCAATATGCTTCCTTATTTGCGCGTCTACGTCGCTTACACTTACAGGTAAGTTTCTGTTCCCGGTGTGAGTGCAACGTCCAGTTTGTAATATGTTGCTCATCCGATGCCATTGTTCACATCGAACAGCTATTGACAAATTGTGACGAGCCACTTATTGAATGATTAAAAATATCAGTGTTATGCAGTTTGTACTACGCACATACTTATCTAATGAATAAATGCCTACATCTGAAAAATCTTCAAGCTCTAGCCGCCGGTAAAAAGTCAGGGGTCCTACCTTCACAAAAAAAAAAATCATATGCTTATGACAACGTGGCATCTTTGCTCTATTTGCTACGTGCCAGGCGCTGTACCAGAAACGCAGAAACCCGCTTCGGTGCTACAGCAGCTGCCCTCTGCCGGCCCTTCGAGCAGCTTACTTCATCCTGATGGCCATCAGGTGTCACTGCCTGCCTACTCCCTGGCACCACTTCTCAGGAGCGTCAGAAGCATAGACGACGACGACCTTCGTCGAGATGTGAATTCACAACTCCAAAGCAATCGTCCATTAGACGCCAAAATAGATTATCTCATTTCCACGCTTGCAAATCTGGTGAAAAAGCAAATCAGGAATGAAATTCAAGAGAAGTTAATCAACAGAATCAAGACGGACATTCTCGACCCTATAGACGAATCCATTCCAGACCTGCACAGTCAGCGTGGTCGTCGATGACTGAGATTCGAATTATCTACCTCAATTCACCCGAGTGTGAGTACGCTGTCCCTTGTCATGTTGCTTGCATGCGAGCAGCTGTTTGAATTTTTGTTTGCAGTATCTGATATAAATGTACCATGCATGAGTCAAATAACCTAAAAAGTCAATAAATGAGTAAGTTTGGAGTCTATGGAGTCTAAGGAGTCAATTTCCCGTCAGCAATAACGATAACATCATTCCAGCTAGCAGCTAATCAATACTGAAGAAAATAATGCAGAGAAGTGTCTAGTGGCAACCTTTTATCCATGCGATATCAAAACGAAATGATTAGGCGCAGAAAACGATGATTCGGTGAAAGCTCTGAAATCGATTATGTATTTATGCAATCAAGAGCACGAGCATACATCCCATCCCGTATGAAAATTATCGACAAGTCCCACACTCTTGCGAGACGACCACAGGCTCGATGCCCGTAGCCATGATCCACGGACGGACCGTACTGACAGACGGCCAGAATAGCGGAAAGCTACCACAACTGGAGAGACCGAGTCTGATTCAAAATACCGACCTTCTAAACTGATGGAGGTGGATGAGCCTCAGCGGTAGTGAAAGACCACTCCAGCGACCTGATTCTGATTGAATTAAAAAAGACCAAAGTAGCACACACTTCCACCAGCCATTGACTCCGATGACGTCAGGCCTCGGGACAATGAGCCCGAATCAGTCCCGGGTCAGGCCTATAGTTCACTGAGGCAGGTCGCCACAGCCATGGTTCGACTAGTCTCAGAGTCTCGAAAAACGTTCTAGTTGACAGCTAGACTAATGTTGGATACAACATCTCGAAAACCATCAACAGTGCCATCAAATGACTGATAACTTTGGTGGCTATTTCAGCGAATTGATACATGTAACAAAAGGAATGAATAGTTTCACACAAAGGAACACACCTTGTTGTGATCAGTCCGCCTTCTTTGACTTCTTTTTCTTGGCTATGCTGGCCAGCATCTTCTCCTTCTTCTCCTTCTCCTTGGACTCCTTGTCCAGGGCCTTGGCCAGCTTGAAGGACAGCAATGATGAGATGAAGAAGAGAGGTGACAGGCAGAGCAGCACCTTGAAGAGGAAGTCGTATGGATCGGTGGCCGCCCAGTAGACGATACTGTCGGCCCAGCCCTGCCAGGTGCTGGTGTCGATCTGCGGCCGATCGCTCGGCGGTGGCACAGCCTCATCGGCCATCACGGTAGGCAGCTGTGGGCACAGACAATTGATGGATTATGAATAAATTTACCTATAGGCTGTGATAGAATGATTTAGATCATACCATAGCACCCATTTTGAAATGAAGCCAGCATATTTATTTGTCTAAGGTTGTCTAAGGTAGGTATCTGCTGTATTGCACCCAGAGTCAACTGCAAACCGTAGCAACAGAGGCAGTGTCTGGTAAGCAACCACATAGCCAGGGTGACATAAGCATCAGCACCAGCCTACAACATTCATGCTGGGGATCTGAGCACCCACCTGCACAAAGCAAAAATTAGAAGATAAGTCCACAAAAGTTAGAAATATGCAGTATGCACTCGTGATATAAATAATTGTAGCAAGACCCCAATTATTTCCTAGGGCCGAACCTTTTGTGCCTCTGTACAATGTACGTACATCATTTTCTAGGACCAGGACAAGGCTGTGCCAGTATTGTAGTAGGTACAGCATTATACCAATTTTAAAGTTAGGGCCTGCACTGCTCCACCCGAAATCCGCCCATCAAGGTATATCAACACCATACAACACACACTACCTAGTGCACAGTGCACATCAAGCTCAATACAGACATACCAACAAGATCATATCTAAATTGTCCTGGTTCACAATCTGGGTATCCGTGAGTCAAATTCATTTTCCAGCAGGACATAGGACCCGCAAGCAATGCAATTTCCTTCCAGCACGAGCAAATGGAGGAGCTCGGGGGAGAAGTCCATTGCTGGTTTAGGAGATATTTTCCCCTCAGTCACCCGACCTGAAAAGCCCTTAACTAAAGCATCTAGGGCGTATTGCAGGAGGAGGAGGTCTAGGCCATAAGGAGTGTCCATCCCAATCTGGAGGCCCTGAAGGCGAATATCGTGAAGATGTGGGAGACGAAGGACCCCACCAACATCATAAAGAGATGCAAGTCTTTCTGCCTCTGTGTGGACTGTGGAGGTTATCGCCTCTGAGGGAGTTATATCATGCATGAGGGGAGTGAAAGTATCTGGTTTGATGTTGCAAAGCAGTATTTATTTGGTGTTTGTGTTGATAATATTTGCTCCGACTGCATTTGTTTGTCGAAACATAGAAATGTACCAGAACTTTTTGGAGCGCACCCTGCAGAAAGCATCTCTGGGTAAAGTGCATCTAGTCCCCTTGGTTGTAAAAAAAAACAAGTGTGATGCCTGCTTTATGACTACCGAAATGTAACACAGAAACTGGAGGGAGCTATGAGGATGAAGAATTAAGAAATTAAGATGAATAATTGCACAACCAAGAAATGCCATCCAAAGATTTGTCCCCGAAGCTGAATCCCTGCAGTGATTGTTGCATGATTACTATTCATTAATTTGTGGTAGATGGACTGTATGTTAAGCAGTACGTTCACTTGTAAGGGACAGTGAGATCTTGATAGTTTCTAACAAAAGTTTGTTTGTTAGTTTGTTGGACGCTAGAGCCAAGCTGCTATGCGCCCTAAAGGCCTGGCTACACTATGCATTTTCAGTGTGCGTTTTTGGCGAGTTTTCATGATTTGCAGATTATCGTTCTAGGAAAAAATGACATTACGTTTCTGTTACGTTCTTCATATAAACTTTTAGTTAGGTAATTTAAATGTTTTATTAACTTTTATATAAATGCCAGGCTTTAACTCTTCAACAACAATAATTATAGTTTCTTTTTGGTGGCCCTAAATATAAGGTAAGTTTATTCTAGAGTTCATTTTTTTTTAAAGTGGCCCTAACTTACGTTAGCGGCCTCACGACGAGGACAGCGACCTCGACCTAACTATGCCGCACAAAAGAAACCGGCCATCCTAACCAAGACCGGTGGCCACTTTTACAGCAAGATAACATGGGAAAACCCATATCCATGTACTATGCCATGGTTTATTCGTGGTTTATTCCAACTTTGGGCTGGCATACCTAATGGCGCGGCTGTGACATTTACGGAGGAGAGCTAAATAGCCATTCTTTTCAGAATGCCTGCGGGCTGCGACCTAGATATTTAGCGCAAATGGTGCACAACACTCAATAATTATCCGTTATTACCTGTGAAATATCCTAGGAAAGATACAAGATAAAATAATAAATATTCTAGACGCAACGACTATGCACGGTATATCGTGACTTTCAAGCATTTGTTATTTCAGTAGTAAGTTTACCAAAGTTATAGTGACGTCATGAACTATTTCGTAAGCCCAATGTACAAGAAATAGGCATGCACTTGTTGTTTCTGGTTTACTTTTTAATGGAAATTGTATAGATAAAAACAAAATTAATTGGATGTAAAAATTCCAAATACTAATTGTATTTAAGTGTCAAAAAAGGATTTATCGACTGGACTCTGCGGTACAGCATAACTTCAGGCGTTTGTAGCTAGAGCCATCTAGTGAGGGATGTTGAACACAACAGCAGCTAAAACAATAATACGGATGTAGGTAATAGGTAATTTAGGTATCACATAATCACAGTGAATTCGCGGCCCCCTCCCCCAGGCTATTTTGTGGATATAATCAATTGAGCCATGCCTTATGCACATGAATGCACATTGACATACGAATGCATTATGTAGGTAGAATAATAGGCACACAAATGACATGTGGCAACAACAGACGACTTAGACGGTTCGGCTCGGCATTGTGCATAATGCCGCTTTGTGAGATTTCATTATGGTGAAATATGTTTCGTCTGAGTGTGAACGAAATTGCCTCAGGTTTATACCTACGTCTTAGTCAAAATGCGCGTTATTCTTCGGGGGAGTTTAAATATGACTCAAGTAAGTCGTGAGCCCTTTCTTACGAATCCCTTTGATTATGCACTGAACATTCGGTAGAAAAACTAGCAAGACAGCAGTCTGGCTGATCAGCGGTGCTGCTCTCTGCTGACAATGAAACGATACCTACTACTACTTCACACAGTGCGAGTGAAGCTGTAGGTGGCAGCACCACCGTGTGAGGGCAGCATGGGTCCGAAAATGACGGGACGGGACTACTGCAGACCCCGAGTGATGTCGAAAACGTGAGCCTAACGACAGTGTCTAGGTTGAGAGGAAGCGTAGTCACATGCGGAGAAATAATAAGGGAAATAAACACAAGGCCCGGCAGCCTAGTTCATACACGATGCGTTTGCGCACACGAAGTGCTAGTGCAGTGCACTGAAGATATGGAGACGAAACGGTTGTGGGTGGATTTGCCAACTGGAACGACCTATAGGTATCTGGGGGTTATAACATTAAAGCATATTATTTCTCTGGTTGTCTGGCATTGAAAGCAACCGCATTTTGACTTTTCATACAGGGCTACCTCATCTTTCCCTGTTCAGAACCAATCCATGCTTAGGTATCCTTATTCCTCAGTTCCCCTTTTTTGAGCTGACGATCATGCTCAGACAATAGGCGAGGGCATCTCCTACAGGTGCCTACCCCCGGGATAATGTTTGAATAGATTGAAAGATCTAATCAACCATACCAAGCAAACAAACAGCGTATCTCAACATCTCAAATTACGCATCGTTTTATCCTCAGGACTGCTCAGTGCTCATCGGTGTTACCTTATTCAAGGCTGGCGCCCCTTGTCATCATTTCCTGTTCAGGAATGACGGTCGTACCTCGCTCACCAAGTAACGTGCAAGGGCAGCTCCTAAAAGAACTCATCCACCTCCTATCCATGATGACCGTTCATGGGCGGCTGGCTGGCTGACCTGTCTCACAGAGGCACATTTGTGCCACTAACGGATTGGGCCCAGCCACTCAGCGCACAAGCTGGCTGAATGCGTCTTTTTTTCTCGCAATGCATTGCCCTGGAATGGTCTTACCGAAGTGGAGTACCAAAAAAGGCATCTTTCATCGAAGGCAGACAGGCATCAACTCAGGGAATCTTGAGGAATCCAAACGAAGGCAGGCAAATTTTCCTCGATTTCGGGTGCCGCAACGGTTGAGTCCCTATATC